TCAAAGCCCTGAAGGGCCTGGAAAACAAAAAAATTCAGCAGTGAAGTGGAAGACTTTTTCCACACCGATTTATCATCCTTATCATCCATGGATAGATGAGCAAAAGGAAATCAGAAAAGGCATTTTAAAGCATGCTGAGCCTTGTGAAGTTGGTCTTGCTGACCCCAAAAGCTGTAGCTCAATAATTCCAGCTAAAGCCACATTAACTCTCAGTGTGATGCTCTAAGTTTCACAGGCTGATTTCTGCATTTTTCTGGTTTCTTGTTTGTGCTGAGCACAGCGCAGCGTCCTGACCTGGCATTGCCTGACCCTCCTCCAGACAGAGTAATTGTGTCAGCCTGACTCTGAGCTTCAGGGCTTGTGAACTTTGGGATCCTGTCATGCTAACACAGCTGTGCTACTCTGGGGGCCTGAGCTGGTATTTTTGCAGGATGCGCAGCTTAGATTGACTGTAGCTATTCAGCTCAATGCAGCCTCAGCTCCTCTGTCTGAGGCCTTCCAGCATGACTGAGAGCACCTCAGGAGCATGCCTCTCCCTCTGGGATAAAGAGGAGCCTTGGTTCCTAACTTCAGGTAACCAAGTATAGCTCAAAGACTCAATACAGAACTTCAGGAGGCCTTTGAGAGCCTTTGAAATACAGGAGAAAGCAGAAGCCACTCAGGGGCTCCTGAAGCACTGGGAAGAATCAAAACAAAACAAAACAAACTTTTACAGCACAAAAGTTCAATTCTATACCCTTAAAATCCTTACCAACTTTTAGCAAAGCTTTGTGCACGCTTTAGATTAGCCATGTAATTACACCACAAACCCCCACAAGGATTTAATTTCAATTGAAAGCAGTAGAACTAATAGTGTGCTTACAAATAAAGCTAATTAAGATTTTGTAGAACTAGAGACTATTTCATGCAAATACCAAGAGATTTAATGTCAGTATATAGCACTTTCCATGACTCATAAAGTCTTTAAATATGTACAGGTATTTTCAGCCTGATCACTATATGCCTGGCCTAGCTCAGAAAGAAATGCTTAGGAAATGTGTAGCATAGTAGGAAATAACTCTTACAAACAGAAAATAATCGTGCAAATATCTAACTGGAACAAAATCCTGTAGCTGATGTACAACACAGGAAATTCCATTTCAACATATTTCTTGATGCTTAATCCTGCCAGGTGGAATGGATCAAGAAAAAGGGAGAAGTCACAGTACATGGTGAAAAAATGTTACACATTTGTGGACGTCACCCAACGGGACCTAAGAAAAATCCACAAAGCAGCTACAACTCTCATTGCTCAAGTTCAGCTTGGTTCAAGCTCAATGTCTATATATCTTGTTACAATTATTTACTTTTCAATTTATCAGTATCTTGTAAAAAAAAAATCTATTTTAACTTAAACTCCTTTTCAAGCTATTTTCCAATTTTTTTTTTCAATTGATAAATATTATTTCAATTAAAATAGAGTAGTAGTGGAATAACAGGGGTAGGAAGTTGGGGTAGGAAAAGAGACACTTTCTTCAATTAGCTTCCAACAGCTCCCAACAGCTTCTTCAGGCTGTCTCTAGTATGATTCAGTATTAGAAGAGTACCTTAATTTCAGCAGCATTGTATCATCTGCTTGTATAAGAGTGGAATAAATTGAAAATGTCATCACAATGTCATGACATGACATGCTACACTATAGCTGGTCAAAGCCCTCAAATTCAGAGGAAAATAAAATATTGAGAGGAAACTGTTGAACATGGCAGCTGAGATGAAAAATGGAGATCTCCATAACAGGTCACTGCAAATCAGATTCAGAATGCTAAAAGAAAAGAGAGTGAATATTTCACATGAAACCTGAAGGTATTATTGATGAGATTTTTGTTTAATTAAATTCAAAACAGAAATGAGAGAGGAAAAACTTTACAGAGTAAGCACGATTAAGAGCTGCCTTTCAGGAACAGGGTGTTGGTTTCTTAAGCGTACTTCGAAGGTTAAGTTTAAGCCCAAGATTGAATTTAACAGACATACTAGCTCTATCAGTTTTGTCCTTGGGTTCCTTACACCTCCTCTTTCAGCTATTAGATATATATGAAATTACATGAGAGCAAAGAACTAGGATTTTGTGGTTTTGTACAAAGAAATAGATAGATACAGTAGTGCCTTTTTCCATGTGGTTACATAATGGTTACAATAAAGTATGAGGAGTAGCACCTAAGATGATGCAAGACACTTTGCAATGTTCAAAATCAACTGAATTGAGAACAGGAGCTCAACACACACCAGAACTCTCTGTCTCAGCATCAGCTTGAGGACTGGCTTTGCAAGGTGCAAGTGTGTGCTTGACCAGAGAGTCCCCGGGAGACCTTCAGAAAGCAGACAATTCTGGGAGTAACTGGTGGGATCTGTGCCAGAGGCATTCTCCAGCCTCTTGCCCTGGAGCAGGAGTGCAGCTCTCCCTCCCCCAGGGCTGGGGCCACCTGCTTTCTCACAAGCTCCTGTGAACTATGAGTGATGTGCTGAAACAACCCTTTTTAATCTAGGTTGCATGAAGCTTTCTCTATACAGAGTCAGATTGAGAAAGACCAGAAAATGAATGCTGCTAGTAAATGAATATTAGCAAAGAGAAACATCAAAAATGACTGGAGAAACCCTTGCAGTGAAAGATTAAAGTCTTTGTTAGAATTCATTATACATGCAGGCAAATAGCACATGTTTCACAAGTGTCTGTAATAGATTGTCTTCCTTTGTGCAAATGTATTTCCCAGTTTCACTCTCTCCTGAGCTGAGTGTGAAGTTCAGAGGGGGAGAGAGAGAGGGAGAGCCCCTTATGCTTCAGCCCAAGATCCAGGGATCCTTAACAAACAGTTGCAAGGTCTGCAAGGGAGCCTGCTTGGCTCTTCCGCAGAAGAAAACTTGAAATATTTTGGGCAGTGATGAGTCTTGGTCAAGGAGTAAGCAGAAACTCAATGAGACAGCAATTCATATAGATTACAACAAAATACACATTCCATTCCATCCATAATTTTCAGGAAAAAAAGTGAAGTTACCCTACTTTTTAATGCAAACTGGGGACTTGCAATTCCCATTAGAGCCAGTAGATTCTCCACTCTTTCTGATAATGTGTTTAAAACTAAATCCCTGAAATCTCTTGCCTAAGCAGCATTAATCATGCTAGATCTTAGCCATCAATCATCAACTGGTTTTTATGAATGATTAGGTAAACAAAATAGAACAGAATGTCTTAGAGTTGCTGGTACAGACTGGGCTAAAAACACACACTCCCCCCTTTGGCTACAAGGGAGTAATATTGCTGAATATCACAAGGTGGGATATGATTTGCTAACAGTACCTGTCCATATTTTATATTAAGCACCTGTTAGTATTTAAATATCTCATTTCAAAGTATCCAAAACTTTGTCCAAGTTAGATCTCAGACATATTTCACAGACATGGAGAAACTGAAGGAAATAGCATTAAATGGGCAACCCCCCAAAACATTGGCAAGTACAATGATGTACAAAATGCCAAAAAAATTGCTTATCTTGTTCCAAGATCTGCTCATATGCTAGCCTCCATCTGGCTTCCTGATATTTTTTCAACTCCCATACCTTCAGAAGGTGTACAAAGAAGATCTTTACATAATGAAGTGGTTTTTATAGCAAGCTAAAACCATGCTGAGGAGATTAAATGTTGAAAGCTATTTTTAGCCAAACTAATGGTATCAATTTCACTAATAACATAAAGCTGCAGGTGTCTCCTAAAGTAAGAAGTAAGACGATGGAACACCTAACACGACAACAGGCTACTGACTACAGAAAAGTAGCAGTTCCAAATTATATTAAATCAGGCAATTCTGCCCAACACTCCCCCTGCTGGTTTTGCCCACAGAGATGAGCATGAAGTCGCACACATGCAAAATCCTCCAGCCTAGTGACTAAACGTCCCGTTAATAGGATTAAGTCCTTTCTCATCAGATAAGTAGAACATGGCAAAATCCCTGACACTCCCAGAAATAAGTTCAGAACACAGCCCAGCCCCTTCCTGACGCAGGGAGCAATTTTGCAGAAGAGGTGCAAAATATTAATGGTAAATATACTTTTTTTACTTTTCTCTGGTTGTGTGTTTGTATTTCTTTGCAGTTAATTGGTCTTTTGCTGTAAATGTGAAGGTACAATATGCAAGTAACTGTAGAAGTAAATCCAGGCTATAAACAAATCCAGGCTTTTAATTTATATATGCTCTTGTGGCTGATAATTGCATCTCCAAGAAGGCTATATTGGTTAACTACAAGGCATCTGAATACTGTGTTCACTTAATCAGATGAGAACCATAAAGTGAAGTTGCATGGTTTCTGAAAAATGAACCTTTTGGCTCTGCTCTTAGGAGGGAAATAAAGCAAATGGCATTTCTTTCCCTTATTTTGTAGGTATTTCTTTCATTTGCTGATCTGTTTGTTTAAAAAATGGATCTAATTGCTGATTTTTTGGCACACCTATTGTGGAGTCTCTTGTATTAAGTCTTATTCTGAAGGACACTGAAAGGAATTGAATGTTTACAAGAAAGGGAAAAACATTCCAGAAACTTCCCTCTTTAAAACTGGCAATAATGTTTAGCATGGATGTATTTAAAATATGAACTAAGGACATGATATGAGATCAGCAATTGGTGTGTTTCACAAAGTAGAAAAGGGACAGACTGAACAGCATAAGCTTTTGATTTTATATATACATGTCCTGATTCTGTTAACCACTCTGCAAACTCAGTGGAACTCATCTAATTAAGCTAAATAGATAATTACAAAGGAGGTCAAGCTTCTCACTCATGTATTTTCACCAAGAGTAGCACCTAGGTGCATGCTATACATATCAGAAACCATTGTTAGAGACAAAATAAATGGGATCTTGTGAGATACGTAGTATGATAGTTAGCGTTTATATTACTGAGTATACCTAGACATCTGAGCTTCCTGACAATGTTTACACGTAACCACAGCGAACTTTTCCTTGAACAGAAAGAACATGAAGTCCTCCTGGGTATTTCTGATCCATGTGCTGTGTCTGAGTGGCCACCAGTGCGCACCGACGAAGCAGGAGGAGATGAATCTCCGGGACAACCTCAAGCGTACGTAAGCTTTTCCTGCCAGGGTGGGCTGGAAGGCCCCGGGCCCAGGGGTCTCCAGCTGGGTAGGGCATCTTGACTTCCACACTCACTGCCATCAACAAGTTCCACTTGCATGTGTTGAGTTTAGAAACCAGAATAAAGTCGATTGCATGCCTACACGCATAGAATAGGAAGATAAGAACAAGCAGGATGAGAAAGCAAAGGGATTACCAGATAAGCATCAACTGCCAGAAGAAAAAAGTATTTACAGGATTTTTATAGGTTATTTGGTTCCTTGTAGATCATCAGAATAGAAACCAAACCCAAAATTCAGTTCAACAGATTTTGAACTATTTTGTTTGTTCAAGTAATCTTTGAAAATATTTCCTCTACAGTTACATACTGCACTGAAAAAGGTGGTTTTTACAAACAACTGAAAAAAAAAGACTTAATTTAGAAAATAGCAGCTATTCTGCACACACACACACACACACACACACACACACACACACACTTCTAAGCATGGCTTTATTTTATGGAGAGAAACAGGATCAGCCATTAAACAGTCCTATGCTTCAGTCTATGTTGACAGGATTTCTGTAATAAACAAACAAAAAGTTAGGGGTGAGGAAGAAAGATATAAAGGAAGAGGTGATCAATGTGTTTTTGGCAGTCTCAAGGTGATATGGTTTTGCTTGTTTTCTATAGTTTCAGCGATAGTCAGGGTATTTCTACAAAGAAAACAAATATAGATACAAATACAGACAGGCAATCATGCAGAGCTTCAAGGTGCAACACATGGGCCAGCCCAGGTTTTCACCAAAACTCTATGCTCATTACTTCACAGGAAGTCTAGGAATTGTATTTTTATGAAACAGGTTGAAGGCATTTGTATTCTAAATTTCAAAATGTAGAGGGAAGCTGTCACAGGCTTCTACAAAATCAAAGATAAATATACAGGTTATGTTGTTAGAAAACTGATGACTGATCCTTGGAGATATTCAAAACCCAGGGCGATGTCCTGTGCAACCTGATGCAGTTGACCATGCTTTGAGTGAGGGGAGGGGGCAGACTCAATGATCTCCAAAGGTACCAGCCCCAATTGTTCTGGGATTCAGTATTCAGCAGTGGGACAGTTGAATATATCTTTTGAGTTACATACAGCTGATCCTTGCAAAAGCTCTGGGCCAGATTCTTCTCTGATGGAAATTGTCTTGGCTCAGCGTCACCCAGCATTCGCTATCTCAGATTTGGCTCTGCCACTGTAGGGAAACACAGAGCTATTTCATTCTCCATCATCAGTGCATGACAATTTGCAATAGTGTTAAAATCTGATTAAGTCACTGTATAATTTGGCTTTTTTTAGAATTATCTGAAGTTGGAGAGAAGTATGTAGATGAAGAGGTAAAGAAAGCTTTGATTGGTATTAAGCAGATGAAAATTATGATGGAAAGAAATGAAGATAAGCACATAGATCTGATGAAAACCTTGAAGAAGAGCAGTGAAGAAAAACAGGTAACATAAATGCATTTGTGGGGGTTTTATGTTTATTCTGGGAAGAATGTAAACCAAACTCTATGTACAAAACAAGCAGTGTATATCTTTTCATGCAGTCACAGGATTGAGGCACAATCTGCTTTTGCCCCTTTGTCTCACTAGCAGAGGAAAATTGCACATACTGCTTGTTTCTAAAAACCCCTTCTTCACTGAATTCACACCAAGGCAACTGCAGGCCACTGTAGAAAATTGTTCTGTGCAGAAGGTCCAGCAGCTCTGCCCTCCATGTCTCTATACTCCTGGGGCCACAAGAGGTTCTCCAGCTTGCTTTGCAAACTTCAGACCTGCAGGAGAGTATCAAAGCCACAAATGATAATGTGCTCTAAAGAAAGTACAGTGAATCAGGGAAATTTCCAATGTCTTAGTGAAATGCCTAGGCTCAGAGCCATGTGCTCAGATGATCTGAAGAAACAGAGGTTTACTCTACATTTAAAAAAACCATAAATATCCTAACTTTGTTTCAACAAAGTTGAAGGAAAATTCCCTCCTGGCCCAACATCTGGTAGTTAAACTAAAAAAGTACCTGATAGCTTTCTGACATCTTAAGGAACACCAGTGCACTCCCACAGTCAACACTCTTGATAGATCTTACTGGATGATTTCATTTACACAGGACTCAAATCCACAGTGAGAGTTCATAAAACACTGAATAAATGTATTAGAAAGATCAGAAAATAACTGAACATAGATTATGAAAACTGCCGTTATTTTCTCCGTCAAGCACATTCTGACGGAAGTTTTCTTTAATGTGAGTCTCTTCCCTATTGGAATGCTGACAAAAAGGAATAAGCCCCATCAATTAAAAGGTTTCTGTCATACTTAGAGATAACTTGGAACATTGTTTGGAAACAAAAACTATTGAAATATGTTGCAACTGGAGAGAGAAAATTATGTGTAATCCACTTTATTAATTTTGAATAGAAAGAAATTTTCGCTTTCCATTGTCAAGTCTATTCCAAAAATGCTGCTTCTGATCTGCTCAGCTTCATGCCCTAACTGATGAAGCAAATAGAAACAGAATTGTGAAATGCATCTTGCTGCCCTTCAGTATGGAAGGAGTGCCTCACACTTCCACAAGAGCAGGAAAAAATCCACTTACTACAGCCTTTTGATTAGTACACTCACAAACAGCAGAGATGCTACACTTTTATATATTTCTGCATTAGACAGACTTTATGGCAAGGACCTACCCTCATGAAATATCAATCCCTTAAAGGTAGAGAAAGGCAACAGAAAAGGACTATTTGTGGGACAGATGAATACTGTTCAGATGATTTCGAGCAAAAATAACACGAGTTGAACACATGACCATGGGGGAGGCTGAATTCTTATACAGAATGATGTGTGAGTTTTTTTCTTAACATCAAAAATCCTGGTAGTCTGTAGTGATCCATTTGTTTCTGTAGGCTGTGTCCCCTGAGAGAACACCATCAGAAAAATCCTATGAAGAAAAGGTTTTCAATTTTCAGTTCCCTCCATATGTGATTGCAGCTGAGAAGGCAACCTAGTCTAGTGGTTAGGGATTAGCAAAAAAGGAGCCATAAATAGGCAAAATGAGTGATGAACACTGGGTCAGGTACTTAGAATGCTAATCTGAAAATTGCCCTCAACTGAATCTTTTTCCTTACTTAGCAAGCCTTGCGACTCATGGATGAAGTAAAGGCAAGACTGGAAGAAGAGGAAAAACAATGTCAAGTATCCTTGAAAAATCTATGGGATGAATGTGAATCATGTTTAGAAAGTACCTGCATGAGATATTATACAACTTGCAAACATGGTGTGTCAACCTTTAAGAGAAAGGTAGGAGGAAACTTTGCATCTGGAGAACACTCTTGAGTTCACCCAAAGAGACAGCACATCTTATTTTCTCAATACTTAGGTCTCCCAGTTATATCAGCTTACTAAAATTAATTTCATTTGGAGAGTCTGGAAATATGAAGTTATATGGTAGAGATTACATGTGATTATGGTCATAGAATGCTGAGCCAAAATGAGTTCAGTTGCACCCTGGCAAGATTCCATGGAAACTGATGACTCCCCTGGCTCCAACAGACTCATTCCAGATATAAAATGTTTTCTCTCACAGTGGGACTTGCACTAAGATGCTCGATAACTGTTTGTGAAAAATATCACAAAGATTCTTTATGGTCTGTCTGAAAATCAGCAAAGTTAAAAGTGTAGATGTAGTTAGCAAAATTATATGGGGGAAAAAAAATCACCTAATTATTACATCATTCTTTCCTATATTTATCTTAAATAAATTCCTTAAGTAACAAACAAAACTTTAAAATGCTTAACTTCTTATAATAAAGGAATCTGTCAGCAAAGGAGATTCCCCTAATTCTACTAGAAAGAAAATCTGGTTTCCTGTCTGGGCCCTTTATTACTACAAAATTTAACAATTGTAATCACATTTCTTTGTTTGGGCATACGCTTTAAGTGCAACAAACTTCTGAAGCAAAACTGTAATTGCTGCTACTAAAATGTCAGCCAGATTCTCTAGCTTTCACTCCTTCCATGCACTGAAAAATACAATTACTTAAACATTAAATGTGGTGTTTCAGGCAGGGTTTAGAGCACAGATGTTTAATATTTGTGCAAATTCTTAAAATAATTCAGGTTAAAGTGTGGGAGATATTAAATTTAAAACTATTCATGATACTTTTAGCTTTTTAGGTATCACTCATGGGTAGCTCATATAAATGTTTTGGATTTTCAAGAGTCTGTAGATGCTGCAATTACTGCAGTAAAAGTTATATACTGCATTGTCCTCATCTGTGACCCTCTTGGTAATGTCCCCCATCAGTTATTTGGTTTACTTGAAGCATTCAAAGTAAGAGCTGTGTTATGACCAAAGTTATTAAAAAAAAAAAAAAAAAGAAAGAAAGAAAAGAAAAGATGATAGCTGTAGCTGAGGACACACAGACAGCAGGAGCAATACTGGCTTAGGCTGCTTGCTCCTGCAGTGCTGTTTCACACTTCACCTACCCTCTAAGCTGCACTAGTGGTCAGATCAAGCTGATTATTTGTTTTTTGGTTTTGGGTTTTTTTAAAATTAATATATTTAACTGTCTTTATCTATATGCATAACTGTCTATAGATATCTATCTATATCCATATATGTGTGTTTTAGCAAGGTGCTTCTTAACCCTTGCCCATTTTCTAATGCCATGGAGTGTAGCTCAAAAAGCCATTCCATTGGCTCAGGCCAAAGTAGTGCATCAGAGTGGGGAGCAGGGAACCAGTGGCCGAGACCCAGGAACTGGAACTCTGTGATAGCAGAATTGATACCTGGCCTCTTACATGATAAAACCATGGACTCAGAGCCACTGCTTTATTGATTTTGCTGGTTTCCATCCACACAAGGACATGAGGATTTGCCCGGGGGTGAGACAGGGCAGGCTTTTTACAAATCAAGGTGAGAACAATCACCTTCTGCTCGCTACACCGCACATAAGCAGACAGAAATGCATCTCACATCTTTACAACATAAAGTCCAAGCTGTCTGTTGGAAGAAACTCAAATGCTGACAATAACTTTGAGCCCCCACAGATTAAAGGGCAACTGGCAGGATTTTTACTCCAGATCTGATTTGGAACTAATGATACACATTTCTCCTCTTTGGGTTCTAGTGTCTTAAATTATTTCAGAGAATATGCTGTGTTGGCAGGTATTAAGAGGGCATTGTTTCTTTGAGTATTTGAAAGACAAAAATTAGAGACACTTACCTGAGAGATGAGAAATTGATAACTTGTCTGCCTCCTGATCTCTCTCCTTCTTATACACAGGTTGAAGATTTTTTGAGGAAAATACCTCCACTCATATTTACTTTTCATGAGGAGCAAGGAAGAGACATCCAGACTAATGAAAAGCCTGAGAAAGAGGATACCCAGCTAGTAAAGATGGAAGATTTATTTAGCCAGCTACTATCCGATGTGGGCTCAATATTTGACAGAAGTTTCATTTTTTTCAAGCACATGCAAAAAGAATTTGACCAGTCTTTTCAGACTTATTTCATGTCTGACCTGGAGCTGAGTGAGTCCCCCAGTATGCCAGCTTTACCTGAGGTCGCCACCAGAACTGAAGGCTCCCAGAGAGGCTGGGGCATGCCCGGCTTCTTACAGATAGTTTTTGATTTCAGTAGGACAGTGTTCGAAGGTGTCAGCGAGGTGATCACCGACGTGTTTGATGAATACAGAGATTACAGAAGAGATGTGCCAGAACAAATCAAAGGCAAGTGTTAGAAGATGAAAATTGACTGCACTGTCAATGACATCAACTCCCTTGGGATGTCTAAACTACAGCGAATCATGCAGTTTCCAGTATGAGTGTGAGATACATAAGGAAACTCTGGGGGCTATGGGTCAAGGATAGCTATCAGATAAATGAACAAATAGAAGTCACCTAGAAAACTCAGAGAAATGTTGCAGGGGGACTTAGGGGTCCTACGCAGCCTGATTTTCATGGCAATTCTCAAAGCATTAGCAGGAGCTCCTCAGGAGCACTTAAATTCAGGGTGGATGCAGGTTTTCATAAGGCTGACTGACAGATTTAATCTCAGCATTTGTCAAGATATGATTTGTATAATCTCTTATTGACATGGTCACCAATTCTAAAAAATTAGGGTAATTCTGTGAGATGTCAAGGCCCCTGCCCTTGCCAGATGATGCTAACTTCAGCTTGACAGCTGCAAGTGCTGTTTCAGGCTACAGCAGCAATGTGATCTGACAATCAAATACCAGCTAATCAAAGACCAGCCATCAGGTTTTCCAGTGACCAGAAAATCCTGGGCATACCATTGGTGATGACACTCAGTGAAGGAAAAGGATCATGGCTGACTTTTAGAATACAAATAAGCCTCATATTTGACTATTGCAAACAGGACAAATACATGCTGGTCCTTGTCTACAGGGAAATCACAGTGAGCACATGCCATAACTCTGAGTGGCAGGTGACATAAACATTACATGATCATCAGGAAATACAAAGTTAAGTGACTCTTGAACAGTGTTTTTAAATTTTTCTCTATATCATAAGCCCTGCTACCTCAGAAACAGTCTTGGTACTGTGTTCTCATGTAACTGTATGTGATTATGAAACATCTTGACTTCTAAGGGTCAAAAAGATCTTACCAGAACTCACATGTTGTAGAAATAATGTGTAATAGTATTAGCAATTTTTGGTTATGTCTGAGGAATACACTCCTAAGTCATTATAAAGGAATATACTAAAGCATGAATTCCCTGAAAGAAAATATTATTTGAATCTTCTCTTGACTTCTACTTTTTAATAATTTATTCCTTTTCCTTTTTTTGGGGCGGAGGGGAAGTGGAGGGGTAGGGAAGGGGATTTATGCAAAATACTTTGGATTAAGGACAAGAAATTATATTCTAGCACTCAGGCTCGGTAATGAATGCATACTTATAAAGACACTAAGTTTAACAGCAGTCTAAAAATACTATGACTTCATTCTAGATCCTGAAAGAAGTGGCATGTTTTCAAAAATTGTGTCAGGGCGCCAGAGACTTCAGTGCAGGGAGCTCCGGGAGAACTCCTCTGGATGCCCGCAGTTCCATGAGAGATGCCAGAAATGTCAAGACAATCTTTTGCATGGTAAATAACTATTTTCCTTTTTTTTTTTTCTTTCTGTAATGCATTGATTACTGGTTTATAGATTTTGAGGTTTTAATTTTCTACTGGAATTGACATTTAACATAGTCGCTGAGTTTATACTGTAACCACGGCTACAGTAACCATTCCTCCTCATTCCAGATGATTTAATTAGCTTTCCCCACTGTCTCCACAGAGTGTCAGTATAGCTCAGTTCTTAACATACCGCTGGTGATCCAGAGACGTCCCACAGCCTGTAACAAAATACATCAGTATTTCGTTAGAGCTGCAATCCTGCAGAGAAGCAAGATGTCAGGCAGCAGTCTGTCCTGCCTGGGTGCAGCAGTGCTGAGCAGAAAGCGAGGAGAAGCTCAAACTCCTGACAGTCGCTTCTCCTGCTGACAAGCAGGTGTAACCTCAGGTATCATTCAGCTCCTCGCAATGAAAGCAAGTGCTGTAATTACTTTTTGTTGAACCCTGTCTGCAGCTAGAACTGACATGAAGGACAAAAAGGGGACTTCATGTCAGTATATAAGGAGATGGCAGAGCTCTGTCGGCACCATCCATGGGCACCTGAAATACCTTCAGACTGATCACCTAGAACTGCCAGTCAGGAATCCCACTGCAGCATAACATACCTGTCTTTCCAGAATTATTTTGATCTTAAAATCTAAGAGCATTTAAGCATTAAACCTAATGCTTAAACGTAAATGTCTTCAGAATATTTCCAGTGGGGCAAACATTAATGAACAATGAAACACTTCTAAAAGAATATCTGACCACTTATCTTTTTATCTACACCCATGTATTAAAGATACCAGTTTGTTACTGTACCATCAGCTTGAAGGTGCCCCTTGATAATCCAATTTGACAGAACAGAAACTGAATTTTTACAGAGAAATTATTGCATAGAAAATTTTCTTGTTTAAATCCATATTTTAGTAAAGAAAATACCAGCAATCTTCAGTTCTGAATTTGTGGCAGACGGTGCTAGTCTACTATCTAGCTATTGTAAGATAAATATTAGGTCTTAACACTCAACAAGAATACAGGCTTTCTTGTTATAACCTCTATCATAGAATCATATAATAATTTTGGGGTTAAAGGGACCTTGGTCTAGATGACCAACCCCCCAGAAATCAGCAGGGACATCTTCATCTAGATCATGTTGGTCAGAGCCCCACACAATCTGACCTTGAATGTTTCTAGGGATGGGACATCCACCTGCTCTCTGGGCAACTTGTTCCAGTGTTTCCCCACACTTATTGTAAGAACTTCTTGCTTACATATCATTTAAATCCACCCTCTTTCAATTCAAAATCATTACCTCTTGTCCCCATCTTTCTTACAGGCACCCCTCAGTAGCTGATGGTCAGAGATTTTATTCAAAGGCCACAATAAGTGTCCCCAGAGTCTTCTCTTCTGCAGGCTGAATAGCCCCAGCTCTCTCGGCCTATCCTAACAAATAAGAGAGGTGCTCCCAGCCTCTAACAGTTTTCGTGGCTCTCCTCTGGACTTGCTCCAACAGGTCCATGCCATTCTGTGCTGAGGAGTTGTTGTGGTTTGACAATGGCCCAATGCCAGGCATCCACGAGAGTCGCTCTCTCACCCTCTCCTGCCATGGCTGGGCAAAGGAGGAAAAAGAAAATTAATGAAGGCTTCATGAGTGAGATAAGGACTGGGAGAAATATTTAAAGGCCAAAAAAGGCTCAAATTTTGTTGCAAAGTGAAATTTATTACTAACAGAATCAGAGGAGGGTAATGAGAAGTAAAATAAGCCCTTAAAACATCTTCTCCCCCCAGACCCTCCCTCCTTTCCACCAACAGTGCAGGCCATGGGGGTTTGGCCAGTTCATCACTGAGATTTTCCTTCTTCTCTGGTAGAGGAGTCCTTCCCCTGTGAGGCCGTGGGGTCACTCCCATGGCAGACAGTTCTCCATTAACTTCTCCAGTGTGGGTCCACTCTCATGAGCAGCAGCCATACCGCACCTGCTGCAATGTGAACTCCTCCCATGGGCAGACAATCCTCCCAAAACTGCTGTGGCTTGGCTCTCTTCCCACAAGGTGCAGTCCTCCAAGGACAGGCTGCTCCAGCCTGGGAGCAGGGGCCTTCTCTCTCCACCAGGTCTCCCACTGGATCACAGCCTCCCCCAGGGATCCACCTGCTCCAGCATGGGCACCTCCCCCACGGGCTCTGGGTGGATCTCTGCATCCCTGTGGATCCCCATGGGCTGTGGGTGGATCTCTGCATCCCTGTGGATCCCCATGGGCTGTGGATGGATCTCTGTATTCCCTGTGGATCCCCATGGGCTGTGGATGGATCTCTGCATCCCTGTGGATCCCCATGGGCTGAGGAAGGGTCTCTGCATCCCCCATGGATCCCCATGGGCTGTGGGAGGATCTCTGCATCCCCCATGGATCCCCATGGGCTGTGGGAGGATCTCTGCATCCCCCATGGATCCCCATGGGCTGTGGGAGGATCTCTGCATCCCCCGTGGATCCCCAAGGTTGCAGGAGCACAGCTGCTTACCTTGGTCTCACCACAGCCTGCAAAGGAATCTCAGTTCCAGCGCCTGGAGCACCTCCTCCCCCTCCTTCTCCACCGACCTGGGTGTCTCCATGTTGTTTCCTTCACATGTTCTCACCTCCTCCTCTTCTCTGACTAGAAGGAAAATCCCGTGACTTTGTTTTTATTTTCTTCTTAAATATGTCATCACAGAGGCATTAATAACCTCTCTTGTTGGCCCAGTTATGGCCATCTTCAGAGCCATCAACTCTGGATCTGCCAGACATGGTGGGAAGCTTCCAGCACCTTCTCACAGGAGCCATCTTTGTGGCCCCCCTGCTACCTAAAACCAGGCTGTGCCAAACCAATACAGGGATCCACACCTGGATGAAGTACTTCAGGGGTCTTATGAGAGAAGAGTAGGGGGGCAAAATCACCTCCCTCAACCCGCTGACTGTGATTCTTTTGATGCAGCCCAGGATGTGTTTGGCTTTCTGGGCTGTGAGCACACATGGCCAGTTCATATCCAACTTCTCATCCACCAGCACCCCCCAAAGTCTTTCTTGGCAGGGCTGCTCTCAATCTGTTCATCTTCCATCATAGGAAGCCACTGGCTGGTCAGGCAGGACTTGCCCTTGGTGAAGCTCTGCTGGCTGTTCCGAATCACCTCCCTGTCTTCCATGTGCCTTAGCAGAGCTTCTTGAGGACCTGTTCCACAATCTTTTCAGGCACAGAGTGAGGCTGGTGGAGTGGTAGTCCTCAGGGTCCTTCTTACAACCCTTTTTCAAAAAATCAGTGAAATATTTCCATTTTCCTAGTCACCAGAGACTTCACCGCTCTTCCATGACTTTTCAAATATCATGGAGAGTGGCTACATCAAACAATTCCCTCTGGACTCATCAGGTCCCAAAGACTTAGATAGGTTAAGGTTCCTAATGTGGACTTAAAACTTCTCTTACAGTGGAGGGAACTTTGCTCCCTCAGCCCCTGCCTTGCAGTCTATATACCTGGGATAGATTCATAATGGAATATGAGCCAATGAAAGAACCCATAACGTATAAGAAGACTATGAAGTTGCTATATGTAAAATTTACCAGATCTTATTTAGCATTAACAAAAAACCTATTGTCATGAAATATTATATAAACCTTATGTATTATATGATATAAACTTGCTAAATTACTTTAATACAACAAATGGCCTAATGCATTCATTTAGCCATTGAGTCTAAACTAAATCTACCATAATCAGTAAGCAAAAATTATTCTCCTTTTTTTCAGCATTATGTAAAGACCCATCCAAACCACGCCCCCTCCCTAGGCTTTTTTTACAGTTTTCATTTCATCCGACAGAAAAGACGAAGAACAAGACATAACACTGTCTTTTCTAACAGATTGCCCAAACGTTCCTGAGCTGCACATAAAGTTTGATGAAGCCTTTAAGCTGGTTAATCTCTCAGGGGAGCAGTACGAGCAGATTCTCCAGGTGGTTCGGCATCACACGGAGGACACTTCCTACTTGCTGAACAAAATGAAAGAAAGGTTTGGGTGGGTGTCTGAGTTATCCAACATGACCATTGGACCAGAAAACATTTTCAACGTAGTAAAGGTAAGGGTTGTCTTCTGGAGGGAGCTATTGCTGCCTTTAAACTGCATTTTGCTCATGTTTATGTTCCTGGGGGCTGTGGATGTTGATACATGTGTAATGTTTGGCTTTACAACATGACTTTCCTACTCATCTTGAATTTGTATGTGCTTGGTAATCCTTCAATGAGCTGAAACTCCTGAGATTAGAAACTATTTTCCTCTAAATCCTTTTGGTGTGATGGATGGCTGACAGGCTAACCTGAATCACTGTCTGTAAGAGTAAATTGACACTAGCATCTTTCACTGGCCTCAGATTGCCTTCACAGATAAACTGCACTGCACCGGTCACTGACACATCCACATGAGATCGATGAATGTCTAGCTGTCTGTGTCTGTACCTACATATTCCAAAGTTCAAAGAAGGCAAGTGTTATACAGATTTTTGCAGTGGAAGCTGCACACGCTTGACAGCATTTGTCAATATTTCAAATAAATACATAATGATTAATTGTGTCTCATACACAAAGATACATCCAAAGTAAATTCAATCCATTTTCCTGGGCAAGGGACATATCTTTTTCTCTCTTCTAACTCAGAAATCCACTCATATATAGTGAATTACTACTATTACTACCAGAAATTTATGCAAAATGATGGTACAATCCACCAAAAAAAACCCACAAATTAGGAACAGGAGACAGGCACATTTTCCCAACTGAGTCTGAGATATCTGTTCTCGGAAAATAAAGCTACAGAACTAAGTCTGATTTAGAAAAACACACAGGAATGAATAAATTCAATCACACAAATGTTGTATTGAACTTAGTGGGACAGCTCAGAAGTTTTCATTAGGAGAACAGAAGCTCTTTATAGATGTAGCTCATGATATAAATATTAACATGCAGTTCTTTAATATGGTCTTGGCAGTGCCATGTCAGCTCTTTCCACCACCTACATAAATTCAGACACCCACTGTCTTTTCAGAAGAAAGCAATTTAAAGAAAGTAGGCAAGTCTAAAATATTCCTCTATTTAATTTTCCCCTGTTAAAGAGAGTGGGCACAGCAGGTATAAACAAAACTGAAAGCACACAGCAGTTTGTGGTGTCTAAAGCACTGATCTCTTCTAGGTGGTACCTGGGGATCCCTCCAGTAAAGATGAAACTGTGGTAGATGTGAATGTTCTGACTTCACCTACTTTCACCATCAAAGTTCCTCCCAACTTAGATCCCAAGAGTCCTGAGTTCATCGAATACATAGCTGGGAAAGCACTCCAATTGTATAAGCAGAATTTTTAAGTGGTAAGTTCATTCTTTCTGCTTTCACAGAGAACACACTTCTTCATAAGAGGTGTTTACATTGCAATAAACTTTAGTTGGAACAAGATTCATTCATGGTGTATACAAGACTGCCTTCTCAGAAAGGACACATTGAGAAAAACACAACCATTATGGAAAACACAAACAAACACTCAATGTTCTTGCCTGCAAGACACAGACACGATGATATTAAATGATTTGACTTATATATCTGTGAAACCCCCAATCTTTAAGTAACAGCTGGGATGAGGTAATGTGATAATAAATATTTCTTCACAAAAGAATTGCCTCACAACCACAGTCCAGTGTCTTGGCATTGAAAACCATGTCTTTGTGTTCATTCATAATGAATGGACTGGAATTACCACTATTCATTATGTTTTTTGGTTTTTTTTTAAATTTTCAGTAGTGTTTGAGAGCATGCTCATATTATTTTTTATGATAAAGGAGGGCAAAGTGAGAATCACCACCAGGACTTGGAAGAGCTGTCTTGCCATAACATTCTGCATTAGCAGCACACTGCTCACTCTATTAGCAGTGTTTATTAACAGAGGCTGCAGTTCAACTTGCAGGATCATGCACAGAAAGATCCTGCTTCATGGGCTTCAACCATTTTTGCAAAAAGGACACACAAGAAGTCTCTCTCTTTGTTTAAGACATTTCAAGATGAGGAAGGAAGAACCAGGCAGAGAGGCAGGGAGGACAAATGCTTCATATTCTCTAATCCCACAGGGACTTTCCAGGAAAAATGGAATGGCTTTAGGTGGCATCACACTACTGTGAAACTTGTAAACCACTCTTCCCTGTGTTTCCCTTCCAAGGGGACTCTGGGATGCACAGCTTTAGTGGCCTCTGACTCTCAGAGTTGTCTCTTCCAGGGGAACTGAGCCACAAAACACATGAGACTTTCAGGCAAATCACTGCAGTGTCCTGAGATCTTCTGAGAAGGACCAGATTTGAACATAGTTTCTCTTTAGGTCATAGCTGATTTCCTCAACTGAGCAACTGAAGCACGACCTGCACGCAAAGAGAAGTCTCAGGGAAAGAGCATTCAATGTTAACAAAGTAGATGAAGAAGATTTCAGCATTTTGTATTAAATCTGCTTATTCTTTTGAGGTCAGAGGCACACTTTTTGAGCAGATGAAAGAAATCACTCCCACCAGAGAGGCTGAGGTGGGCTGCAGAATTTAGACAGAATAAACTATGTACTTTGCTTAGGTAAACATTGGTGAAATTACATGTTGATATTTATAAACATCTGAAATAAATTCTCCAACACTTTCTCTACAATTTTTCTTCAAAATTCTCCGTAATTTATATGCGGTTGTAAATATAAATGATAAATACTCTTTCAGATTATGGAATACTAATCTTCAGGACCTGATGATGGCAATAATTATTTCTGTAGTTTGATGATGATTTTTAGCCTGAATCTTAGTCTGATTTTCCTGTGGGCATATCCTGTATACCCATTTAATACCTGGGAAAAGTAAGCAGTGTTGATTTCAAAATCACACCATTCAGTTTGCACAAGCCTTAGAGTACATGAAAATGTAATGGATAAAAAAGAGTTAAAACTATAAAAGAAAACTGAACAGATCTATAAGAACAGAAAGGGAGAGAAAAAGAAAAGTTTTTCTGTCTGGTTTTTATGTTATGCATGTTTCTATAGCAGGACACTGTACATTCCACATGTACTTACTTTTCTAACATGTTTTTCTCCATTGAAAACCAAAATGTATAATCTTTCCTTTTTTTTTTCCTCCTAGGAAAGAAGTGTGAATTCTTTCTTCCTGAAATAAAGTGTATGCTCCTTAGTTGAACTACCCCTATGCTCAACATAGCTAAGTGTTAAATTTCTATGGTTAAAATAGTTGCATATAAATAAAATATTGCTTAGTAAATACTGTGACATATAAGCTATCAACCAAAGACTGTAGAAATCTTTAAACTCAAACCCAAAACCAAATCTATTTCAATATTAGTTTATATAAATAAAATGTTATTTATGTTGTCAGTAAGGTAATCTTTGATAACAAGCTATGGCTCTGGTTATGCAAAGATTTAAGGACATAATCAACTGTAAGCATGTAAGTAATTTCTATTTGTATACTTACATTCAAGCACATTCTCAAGCCTTTTCAAGACTGATCCCTACAGATGTTGCACATTCAGCTAAGTCTGAATCAACCAGATTTCCATCTGCATGTAGCATATTATTTTGCAATGAAAATATTCAATTTTTCTTCCAGTTGCTTTTGATGCTTATTGTGTACATTAAATTACTTATCTGAATATGCACTAATGAGTAAGTCTTCTGCCTTTGGCATTTCTTACAAACAGTAGTCTGCCTCTGGAGTTTATTTCTTAATTAATTAAAAGCCTTTATCAGTAAAGAAGCTTGTTTCTCCCTAAATTATACACATCAGCTTTCAATGGTATTTGTAAATTATAATAAAGGTTAAGTAAGAGCTCTAGGTGATTTGGTATCATTTGCCATGCAAAGCGTTTATAACCATTTTTGGCACACAGGTATATGCTCTGTTTCCAACTGTAGCTCTGCTAAATGAATTAAGCTAATTTCAAAGTGTACAAAAACATCTTTATCAGATATGAGCAGAGAAAAATATCCGCACCCTACTTACACTTTATGTTTTCCTTTACTTCTATACATACACAACAAGTACATAAATTTATATGAGAAAAAATCCCTATTTTACTCTTTTAATTCATGGAAAAGATTATTTTCTGCCTGCTGCAAAGAAAGGTAGCATTTTCTAATCCACAGTCCTCTATAGTCCTTAGCTTCCATCATATATACCTGTATTTCAGGCTCCTAATCATGAGAGATTATCAGTCATAACATAAACATGTCACTTGTCAGAAAGATGAGCTTTATCTCAGAGATAAGTGACTCTTAGGAAACTCTTTGACTTCCAGGAGATACTAATGATTAAATATTCAGAGAAGAATCAGTGTCTTCTGACTAGCAGAGATTACACATAGAAAGATTTTAGAGGACACCATGTTAGGAACAATTGCAATCAGACACTGGTTGGGATGCAAAATGACACTGGGACATGGGAGAAGCTGAGATGAACATGATGAGACACGATAAACTCAAGTGACAAGGACTACCCTTAGTGAGCAGCAAATGTGCCAATAAAATATGAAGCAGGCAGCTGATGACATGGCATGGCATGAAAGGAACATGGCTTTGGAAGCTCAGGTCAGGGTGACACTGCTGGACGTGGAAGGTGAGCTGTGCATGGGGCATGGCACTGCAGGCCCACCACAGCAGGGGAGACAAGGGAGGCTGGCACAGGGGCTTTGGGATATCCCAGCTGGGGGGATCCAGTGCCAGATGCGTGTGGCCTGCCAGGCCCAGCTGAAGGCTTTGGTCTTGTTCAGCTCTGAAATGGGGTGCCTGAGGCTACAGAGAAAGGGAGAAAGATGACAAATGTCAGCAAGACTTTCCAGCACGGGATGAGCCTGGAGAGAGCTTATGTGCCCTAGAGCAAAACAAAGTCACAGAATCACACAGTCAATCAAGTCCAAAAAGACTTAAGCTCCTCTGAGCTCTTTGGGTTCAATCTTGGACGGAACACCATCCTGTCTGCTAGAACACGGCACTACGTGCCACCACCTCTTTCCTCAAACACCTCCAGGAACGGGGGCTCCACCATCCCCAGGGCAGCCCATTCTGATATGTGATCAACCTTTCTGTGAAGGAACTCTTCCTGATATCCAACCTAAAGGAGCCGGTGTGGTTCGGGGCACTGGCTCGGGCCAGCCCTCCCTCAGGGGGAGCAGCTCCGCGCAGGACCACAGCAGGCGGGCGGCTGCGGATACGGCGGCGCTGAAGACCCCCGGGGACTGGAAGTGGAAAGGGAGGGGGATAGGGAAGGGGACGGCCGAGGGAGGAGGTGGCGGTGGTGCCGCTCCGCCCCGCCCGCCCATCGGCAGCGTTTGGCGGGAACTCCGAGCTTGCTTTGGCGGGAACTCCGGGCTTTGGCGGGCTCGGGAGAGGAGCGCATCCGGAGCCCAGAAGCCGCTCGCCAGCCATGCCCGCCGACGGGGATCTGCTGAGCGGCCCCGCCGCCTGCCCGGAGCCCGGCGAGCAGCAGTACCTGCAGCAGGTGCGGCACATCCTGCAGCACGGCCACCGGAGAGAGGATCGCACCGGCACCGGCACCATCTCCGTGTTCGGCATGCAGGCGCGGTACAGCCTCAGAGGTGGGCACCACCGGGACCCCGGCCCCTGAGCTTGCTCCCTCCCCGTGCTCCTGCCCCTGCTCCTCCTCCCTGTCCCTGCTCCTGTCCCTGCCCTGAGCCGCGCTGAGTGTGGGGGTCTCACACGCCGGGCCTGTCCCACTCCCTCCCACCTCCCGAGGGGTCTGACCATGGGAGCTACACGTCCTAACTCCTTATTTCATATCCCACCCTCACAATGTCAGGCGGTGGCATTGTGCTCTGTGTGGGGAAAGTCTGTTCACCCTGGCAAAGGCTGGTCCCCGCTGACACTGTGGAACTCTTTTCCAGATCAGTTTCCACTGCTGACAACGAAGAGGGTGTTCTGGAAGGGAGTGCTGGAGGAGCTGCTGTGGTTCATCAAGGTTCGGTATTTGGGTGTCTCTGTGGGTGGGGGGCCTGAGAGTGGCATAAACAGAACCAACTGCTGGGCAGTGGATTAAGGCATTTGGGTAACGCCAGATGCTTCTGTTCCTATTACAGAAGTGCAACTCCGTAATACTGTGACCACACATGGAAGGCCATTATCTTCAAGACATTCTGCTATTTAGTACAGATTGCTACCAGTGCAATCAGAACAGTTTCTTTTCTTCTTAAGAGAGAAAATTTGAAGTAGTGAGGGCTTGGACTAATTTGAAGATACTCCACAGCTGTAAAGCCTAATGCAGTCTCTTTTCTTTGTGTTTTAATCAGAAACAATAGTATGAGACAGCTAGTAAGCAATTTA